TTAGAATCCTGGACCTGGCAGCTTAATTTCTTACTCTCACTACCCACTCTGTCCTTTTCTAGTACACTTACAATAAATAAATAAATAAATAAAGTTAAATAAAATACATTTTTTGGGGGGTGGGGAAGAGAGGTTTTTGCTACAGGGCACGTGAGCTCGCCAGAAAGCCAGAGAGAGACAGAGAGACAGAAAGCGAGAAATCACCCCCCAGGGGGGATGGCCATGCTGCAATCCCTTTTCCATTCTCCTCTTGGGATCTTGGGCACACATGCACAAGCACCCAGCGTGAGTTTAAGCCACTGGGTCTGGGACTCTAACTGCAGTTGACTACATAGTAGTCCAGTGACATAGCCATTATGCCAACTGCTGGTCCCTAAATAAAATAATTCTTTAAAAAAATTGTTTAAATGGCCTTGGGGATGGCAGTGGCATGGTGGTTAGGGCACTGGACTCCTACACAGTTGACTATGGTTCGAGGCCTGGACCTGGTGGCTTGCTTTCTCGCGCTCCTCTGTCTCTATGGTCAAATTGAAGAATAATAATAAATAATTAAATTACATAAACATTTCTTTTAAAAAATTTAAATGGCCCTTGTACTACAAGCACCTTAGTAAAATACAGTCCTTAGCTCAGCTTCTATTAATTTCAGTTTGGGAATTTGTCATTTTTCCTCAACAAAAGAAGAAACCAAGACCTATTTCCTTTTAAAGAATCTCTGCTTAGTTCCAGTCCTGGCTTGTGGCTGAAGCTACACATTTGGGTCAAGGAGTTCCAGAGCCCCTGGTGGTCCTAAGAGTCTGCTCTTGCTCCTAAGTCAGAGAAACCCTCTCCAGTACCTGTTGAATTCATTAGTCCTTGACTCCAAATATTTCCGAGTCCAGAGTTGTACTTTGCTGAAGTGGAGCAAGGTTTTTAAAGGAGGGCTTGCCTGCCTGGCAGAGGTATGGCCAGCAGTTAGGACCAAAGGGGGTGGGACAAGACAATGGCAGGCAACTTCTTGGCCTGGGGGCCAGAGGACACCTGTCTTTAGATAGATGACTTTGAATCTAGTGCAATTTGTTACTGCTGCTTAACACCAGAAGCCTAATTATGCCTTTGCATGACTCTAATTATTGCCTTTTCCAGAGCTCTACTGGTAAAAAGTGGGGTGATATCCAAACAGCCCCCTTTCAAGCCCAGGAAGTGTCATACAAGCTGCCAAACAACCATTGCAATTACAGGTTAACCCTTGTCTCCATGAACATAAGTTACAGAGGAGCTGAGGGGCTGTCTTGGTTCTTCACTTTACATTCTTTCATGAGAAGGTCTTGGGAGCCAGCCTAGCCTATGGTATGTGGCTTTTATTTAAATAGCACTATGCACAGTACTTACAAACAAAGATTCTGAAGCTACACTGCCTAGGTTCAAATCCCAGTGGCTATTTTCAAGCTGTGTGACCCTGATGCCACTTAAGCTCTCTAAGTTTCAGTTCTCTCACTTGGGAAAGGTACCTATCTTATAAGTTGACCATAAGTTACCATACACATAAAGCCCTTAAGTAGTGCTGGTACAAAGTAGACATGTTAGTTATTTTTTTTATTACTCATTGAGATATGTCAATATAGTTCCGAAGGAAATAACAGAAAAAGTCCCAGTTTCTCCTAGTCTTAAGGGAGGTTTCGTCTGAAAGTATTATCATGTTGTGCTAATGGAATTGGGGAGGAGGAGGATTGGTCCCTACATGGGGAATGAAGGTCACTGGTGAAGCCAGTAACTCACTGGGGAAGCTAAAATTGAGTTAAGCACCTCCTTATCTGCAAATGGTTCTCCTAACATCTCCACTGTGCCCCAGGTGTTGTCCGGGTGTCACCTTGTCCTTCCTCTTTGTCTATATGCCATGTTCCTGTTTTAATACCTTCCCTTCAGCTCCACAGGGATAAAGACCCTATCTGCCTTATATACCTGTTTCTGTGAATTACAGACATGATGCTCAATAAAAGTGGCTAAACTGGGGGCCAGCAGGTGGTGTGGTGGGCTAAGGGTGCTAGACTCTTGCATGACCAACCAAGGTTTGATTCCTGAACTTAGACGCGTGCTTTCTCACTTTCTCTCTCTCTCTCTCTTTTCCTCTCTGGTCAAATGAAAATAAGTCAATAAATAAATAAAGTTTAATAAAATAATTGTTTTTTTAAAAAAGTGGCTGAACTGAATGAAAAAGAACAATATGGAAAATGGAGGGCGGGGAGCAGGTGGCAAGGAGGCGAAGGCAGCTGGATCTTACGTGGCCCAATGTGGTTTGAGTCCTAGACCAGTGGCTTGAAAAACACACCGGGCACATGCGTGTGCATGCCCAAAATCCCAAGAGAAGAGAGAAGGGACTGTGGCCTGGCCATCCCCCTGAGGGGGGTGATTTCTCACTTTCCCTTTCTCTTTGTCTCCTTCCAGCAAATGCATATGCCCTATAGTAAATGAAAAAAAAAGAAAGAAAGAAAGAAAGAAAATGAGTGGGGCTGGTGACCAGTCTGTGTTGGTGATTCCTGTCAATCAAAGGTGCTGAGGAAGGTTATGGGCCTTTGAAAGGGGTAGCTTGATAGAGTCTAGGCTCCCTTCTTCAGGGGAGCAGCCAAAGCTCCTCCCTGGCATCTGCTTCATCTTCAAACATGGGAAATCTGGCTTTTAATGATTGATCAACAACCTGCACATTGTAAAGGTATTTTATTAAAAAAAGAAAAATCAAACAAACAGAAAACCGGACCCAAGAACTCTAGGTTCTGGGAGTCGGGGAGCAGCTTAGGTCTGTGGGTGGGTAGGACCTGGAAGACAACAGTACTGGGCCTCTGAAGCCCTGGGAGGAAGAGCAAGAGCTCAGTGAGGTTGACAAGAAGAGCAGCCTTTCCCCAGGGGTCATCTACTTGGAAAGGACAGGTGGGAGGCTCAGCCCCCAGAAAAGGCAGGGTGGGCAGTTCTGGACAGCCCTCGGACCTTGTGTCAAAGTCATCGACCAGGTGGGAAGTAGGGTTGAGTAGCCCGAGGCTGGACTGGGCCTTCTAGCGCCATATCCAAAGGCGAGGTTCAGCCCTAGCTTGGGATGCAGGCTCAGATAATAAGATACACTCCCAAGTTCCCCTCAAGTTGGGCTTCGGGCTCAAGCCCCTCAGCGAAAAAGGCCCAATGGAGCGGGATCTGGGAGCAACCCCAGGGTGGATTCCTGGGAAGGCAGGACAGAATCCAGACTCTGGGAGTCAGAGCGGAGTTCAGGGGCCCTGAGGGCCACGGGGCAGAACTCGGATGGGCCGAGGCGGGGGATTGTCCAGGACAGGCTCAGGCCTGGCCCGCACGCCACCCCGGCGTTTTTGCTTGCGCAGCAGGTAGTTCGAGTACTGCACCTCCGGCATGGCCAGCTTGAGGCAGGCTTCAGTGGCTGGGCCCGCGCCACCGCTGGGCAGGTCATAGCCCATGATGTCCACCTTGCGGCTGGGCTGCCAGGGCTGCAGTTGCTTGGTGCGGATCTGCGCTGCTGGCCTCAGCATTGGCTCTTCGCCGAAGCAGCGCCGCAATAGGCGCTGGCGAGCTTCGCGCAGCTCGCGTGCCTCGCGTTCCACGCACGCGCGGCCAGCGCGTGCCACGCGGCGCCAGAAGGTGGCATTGAAGTGGTCGTAGAGGCCGGCGTCCAGCGCGTTCCAAGTGCGCGCGGCCCGCGCCAGTGCCGCGGGGATGGCAGCCAGGCGCGAGCTGGCGGCGCGCGCGTTGAGCTTGGCGTAGAGAACATCGTCCAGGTCCCAGGCCAGCAGGCGCCGCAGCAGCACGAGCGACTCGTCGAAGTACTCGGCGATCATGACCAGCGAGAAGACCTCCTCCACTTGGCGGATGAGGCCCGCCAGGTAAGCGGCGTCGTCACGCGGGCTGCGCTCGTTGTCGCCGCCTAGGTCGTAGGCCAGCGTGTTGTGCGCGAACATGGCGAAGTGCTCGCCGGCGCGATAGTAGGACTCGGGGGCGCGCAGGAAGGCCTCGAGCGACGCGTTGGGCACGCGCCGAAAGGCCGGGCAGTACTGGTTGTAGTAGCTGAAGAGTGACTCAAACATTGCGGCCGGCTCGCGCAGGATGGTGACGTAGACAGTGCCAGGCGGCATGAGGCGCTCGAGCTCTGCTCGGTCGAAGCGCAGGTGGCTCGCCAGCATTTGTGGCGGTCGCGTGGCCGGGTGCACGAAGTGCGCCGAGAAGTTGCGCGGGTAACAGAATTGATGCTCACAGCTCGGGTGTGGCAGGGCCACGGTCAGGTTGTGGCGCTCTGCAAAGCGGAACAGGATATTCTGTACCGTTGTACCCGCCGTCTTGTGTGTCTTCAGGAAGGCCACAGTCATGTGCTTGGGGCGCGGTGGTGAATCCCGAATTGGTGGGCAGCTCAGGGGGAACAGCTTGGGGTACCTGCAGGACCCAGCGATCATGCAGAGGAAGGTATGAGAGGGATGCAGCTTGACTCTGTTCCTCCCCCAGGATGGTGGGATACATCACAGAGCACCCGTCCTGAACTTTACCCATGTAACAGTAGAGAGGGGGTGGGTGGCAGCCTCTAAGATGACCCCAGCTGGATTCCTGGTATTCATGCCCTTGTGTATCTCCCTCCCCTTGAGTATGGGCTGGACACTTATTGATGTTTGTAAGGAATAAAATATGCAGAAATGATGGAATGTCACTTCAGAGATTACAGCATGAGACTATGGTTTCTTTCTTAGTGTTTCTCTCTCACACTCTGTCCAAGATAACGCATGTCGGGAGATGCAAGCTGCCATAATGTGAGCAGTCCTATAGCGAGGTACCATGTGCAACAGCCCCCAAGGAACTATGGCCCTAAGTCCATCAGTCTGCTGGAAGAGCTGAATCTGCCAAAACCCTGTAAGTGAGCTTGGAAGGGGAGCCCTTCCAATCAAGCCTTCAGATGAGGCTGCATCCCAAGCAGATACCTTGGTTGCAAACCCATGAAAGACCTCAACCCAGTAAAGTTGCACCTGGATTCCTAATCCACAGAAACTGAAACAATAAATGTTTGTTTATAGGGGCCAGACAGTGGCCCAGAGGTAACATATGATGCTCTGTAAGGCATCCCCACATGGGAAGGTTCCTGGTTCACATCCAGAGACCACTTGAGTACACCTGTCATGTGCTTGCCCATGATCCAGGGCTGGCTGAAGGCTGGAGGTAAATTGCAGCATTGAGACCCTCTTGGGGGATGCTGTCTGTCTCTCTTTCTCTCGTGTAAGGAATAAACTTAAAAAGATGTTTGTCGTTAACAGCTGCTAAGTTTTAAGGTAATTTATTGATGCAGAAATAAATAATATAAGGGACACAGGCTCTTGGAGATCCTTGAGGAATCCCACTGTGCAGATATAGAAACCAAGACTCAAAGGAAAAAATATTTCTTTTATATAAAGTCTGGGGCCAACCCAGTATCGCCAAATCATCTTGCCGTTCATTTCTTCTCAGTTGTAGTCCTTTAATTGGCTCCTCACTTTGTAGCCAGGTGGTGTCAGGCTCTGCAGCAACCCAACCCATTTGTCAGTCGTTTCTTTTAAAACCTCTGGAGCCTCATCTCTTTGTTCAGCCAGTATTTTGTGACCACCAACTATGTGTCGTGATCATCTGGTCTAAAGAAATATGACAGTGGGGCCAGCAGATGGTATAGTTGCTACATCACTGGACTCCCACATGACTGACCATGGTTTGAGTCCTGGACCTAGTGGCTTGGAAAGCACACTGGGTGTGTGGTATACATGTTCAAGATCCCAGGAAGAGAATAGAGGAGAAGGGATTGCAGCGTGGCCATAACCCTCGAGGGGTGATTTCTCACTTTCTCTCTCACTGTATCTGTCTCTCTCTGGCATGTTCATGTTCCCTATGGCAAAAACCTCTTTAAAAAATGCTTTTTGATAGTACGGGCTAGTACTTGGCATTGTGGTTAAAGCACTGGATCCCACATGGCCAGCTGTACAACTTGAGTCTTAGACTGGTGGCTTAAAAAACATGCCACGCACAAGTGTGTGCATGTCCAAAATCCTAAGAGAAGAATGGAGGAGAAAAGATTGTGTATGGCTATCTTCCCTGGGTTGTGCTTTCTCACTTTCCTGCTGCCTGTCTCTCTGTCCCTCCAGTGAGCGCATGTGCCCTATAGTTAATTTAAAAAAAAAAAAAGAAAGAAATACAGTAATATAGAAAACAAATAATAATCTTAGCTCTCATGAAGCTTTCATTTTTGTTTCTCAAAATAGAATGTTTGGTTTTACTGGTAACCTACAGGGCCCACAGATTTTGACTCACTCTCCCGTTTCTTCTCTACCATCCTAAATATCATGTAATAAGAACAATTCTCGGCAGCTTTGAGAACACCACTGAGATTTCCTCTGTGGCTGGTTTGGGCTCAGGATAATGTCCACACAGACATCACCTTTAAAACCAGCAAATCATCTGGCAAGGAAAGCTGGGTCCACTCCCACCATTCTCAGGTAGACCATGTAAGAAATGAAGTTGAGGCATCAAGAGGTGTAGGGATCTGTAGGGTTCACATGGGAGAGTCAGGAGCAGAGCTCGCTCTAATCATCACATGAGACACTGTATCAAGATGACTAGCTGGGTCACACGTGTCATCATTCCCACTTTAGACATGAGGAAAGAGGCTCAGAGAAGTCACTAGCCTTGTCCAGCACAACAGTAGTGAAAAGTCATTCGCAGGCTACTGGAAAGGCACTCAGATGTGATGCTATGAGAAGGATTTGGGCTGGATTCTAATCCCAGCTAATTCTGACTAACTTCGAGTTTGAGCAAGTCACAGGCCTTCCAATGACCAGTCCCTGCCCAGGCAGGTTGTGTGGCTCTAGAGGAATGTATGGAAAAACACTTTCAGAATAGAGGGAAAAAGCATAGCCCAATAGAAGCTCTCTTTTGGCAGGTGGAAGAATGGGAAGGGGAGCTAGCTGATTTGCGGCTAACCCAGGGAGCTGGACTCTGTACGACTGTGCCTCCCCTGGGACCCCCACCCCCTTACCGAGGCCCGGTCCCTTACCAGCTCAGCTGTGCCCCCTGGTGGATGAGGAGGCTTACGGTGCTGCACCCTAGCACCAGCAGCAGGATTTTCCTGCGGCTCATCATCTTGGTGGCCTGCTGTAGGCGCTGGAGGATGGGTGGCATGGTGGAGTGCCCACCCCTGGATCAGCCAGGGCCTCGCTACCCAAGATTCCCTTCACCGGCACTCATGGGGGCTCCTGGGGCTCTGGTAGCAGGGCCAGTGTTCCCAAGAAACCTGGCAGGAGAAGGAGGCAGACAGGTTTGCAGTGGGCAGAGGAGATGGGCTCCGGGCCCCAGCACGACTGCTGCAAAGGAGAGCTCCAATGAGTGGGGTGAGCAGAGAGGCTAGGGCAGATCAGATTCCTACCTCCCATTACCAAGACCCTATCTCTTCACTGCTCCCGATAAATGAGTCTTGGGTGGAATTACCAGGTCTGGGGTGCCGCCAGACCTCAGGTTGTAGCCACGCCCTCCCCTTGAGTCCTGTCTCTGCCTCTCTGCCTGCCCTTTACTCATCTTTGTCTAATGCCCGTTTGTATCTATCTCCCCAGTAGACTGGTCTCAGTATCAGGGCTTGACTCTGAACACAGCAGTTCCAACTCAAGATTTCCTCTTCTCTAGGACTTCTTGTCTGATTGCTTCAGCCAAGGATTAGTGCTGACTCCCGTGAGAGATTTGAGCGCCTCAGAAACATTGATCAAGCTTTTACCTCTTTGAGCCACAGATCAATTCTGCAGGTTTACAATATGACTATACTATTAAATACTTAATCCCATTTCATCGTCACCACAAGCCTAACACAGGTATTTTTCCCACTTTACAGATGAGGAGACCGAGGCTCTGTGACATAATATCACTTGTCTCTGGTCACACAGCTGGTAACAGAACTGAGACCAGACCTGCTCTTTCTGGCTCTTAGACTGTGTGTGCCTTTCTCATACAAAGTGGATTCCCCATCCCTGTCCTGGACTCTGACAATTCTGCAAGCTTCTGAGTCCCGAATCTTCCTATCTGGGCTCTTGTCCTGAGGGTCCAGGGCTATGAAATCTAGGAGGGAAAGGAGGGACCTGAAATGCTGGAATCCTATCTGGACTCCATCCCCGGGCACCTGAGACCTAGGTAGTTTCACACAGCTCACGGCAGTGAGAGGTACCTGGTGAAGGCAATGGGATGGCAGCCTGGAAAGGGGTGAGGTGTGGGAAATATAGAGCTGGCCCCTGCTTATCGTCCTGCCGAGAATCTCCAGGAAAAGCTGAGCCTTATCCCAGGTGAGAAGCAGAAGGAACTGGTTTCCCCTGCGTGAATGCATTGGCTCAGGATAGCCCAGTCCTTGGCAGCTCCCCTGGAAAATCAGTTTGAGCAGAGATGTCTGTCCCTGTGCTAGGATGGGGAGGGAGGGTGTCTCTGGGCTAGGGACCTCAGTGTCCAGGTTCAGGTTCAGCTTCAGCCCTCACATACACCGCTCTCCAAAGGGGAGGGGAGCCTGGCACATGCATGTTTGGGGAACTAGGACACCTGGGTCTCAGGAGGGGTGAGGTAATGTGAAAGGCCTTTTGACCATCACCTTCCCCTGGGGCCCTGGGCTTGGCTTCTGATCTCTCTTCTTTGCCCCCCCCTCCCCCATTAATCCCGGATTACATTTAAACCTGTTTGGGTGGAAAGATGTCCTGGTTATGCCTCTTTCCAGGTCCTATGTCAGGTTTCCTCCAGCCTGCAGACAGACTTAATCCTCCTGGAGGCGAGGGTGTGAGGCCTTTTGACCATCACCTTCCCCTGGGGCCCTGGGCTTGGCTTCTGATCTCTCTTCTTTGCCCCCCCCTCCCCCATTAATCCCGGATTACATTTAAACCTGTTTGGGTGGAAAGATGTCCTGGTTATGCCTCTTTCCAGGTCCTATGTCAGGTTTCCTCCAGCCTGCAGACAGACTTAATCCTCCTGGAGGCGAGGGTGGGAGGGGTGGAGCCACAGAGGGCAACCAAGGGCATGGCAGAAGAAGCCCAAGGTCAGCTCTTTCTTTTCAGGCTTGCTGGGGGCAGTGGGGTTCTGGCTGGGCCTGAGTGGGGCAGCCTGCAGGAGGCAGTCAGAGAGAGCCCTTGGCCCCTCAGGAGGCAGGTGGTCTTCCCTTTTGTCATGCATCCTGCCTGGAAGACTTGGGGACCAGATGTCAGTTTCCCAACGGGGCACAGCACTGGGCCCACCTTTGCTAACCTTGCTGAAGCCACCCTATTTCTTGGAGGAATCAGGGTAGGCCCAGGAAGTCAAGCCTGTAGGAGCTACCGTGGGCCTTTCCCTGGGAAACAGCTCCAGCTGGTCACAGAGGGCGATGGGGTCCTGAGTGCCCCCGCCCCTCCCCTCCATAGTTTAGCTCTAGAGAACCACCCCCCGCCCCGCTGAGGCCTGCTTGGGAAGAGGGCATAATCAACGCACTGGACACCATCAGCTCCTGAAGGTGGACACCAGCTTGTGTCTGACCAGTATCAGTTGACAGGCTGTTCATCACCTGCAGGTAGTCTGGTCCATTTCTGAGCTGCCCCTGCTGTTCAGAAGTTCTTTCTGGGACAGTTAGGATCACTCTTCCGCTGGCAGGGCCCTCCTCAGCCTGCTCCTTCCACCTCCCATTCTGCATTGTTGCCTTTGCTGCCCTCCTAGAGTGCACAGAACATTTTTCTCCATGACAGACCTTCAGGTATTTGAAAGCAGTAACCCTGTCTCCTCTGGGTGGGCACCTGGCCAGGCTAAACATTCCAGGTCCTGGGAGAGGGTGCTGCTTGGACATTGGAGGAGGCCTTCCTTCCTTGGCAAGTTCACACCAAGATGCCTCTCCCAGAGATGGAGTCAGGGTAGCGGGAACCGGGAACCAGGGAAGGTGCTGCCTGGGGCTGGGTTTCCCTCTGGTCCTCTGGCTGGCATAGGGTCGGTGGCAGCACTGTTGGGGCTAGGCTTTAGAGCAATGGCCCTGTCTCCTGCCCTCAGGTGCTTTAAACTATTCCCTGGTCTCCGTGGTGTCTTCTCATGGAAAGAAAGAGAGGCCCCCTCAGCCATCCAGGTAGGTCAGGGGGCCCAGCCTCATTAGAACATTGGTGCTAATTTTAGTCATAACAATCTACTTCAGACTGCTGCCTGGTTTTACAAATTGCTTTCTTTTCTCCAGAGAATCAAAGAAATGGCAGAGCTGGCCAGAGCTTTGAATACTGGCCTGGACGCCCACCCATTCCCAAACGAGCCTTTTCTCCTCTGTCTTCCCCACGCTCCAGGGCTGATACTGATGTGCTTAGGGGAAGAGGGTGCATTGGCCTGGACCACTTGGGCCTGACCGCTGGCTGACCTGGAGGCTCTATCCTGACTTGAGAAATGGCACAGCTCAGGGAGGAGGGAAACTCACCCAGGGCTCGAGAGAGGAAGGTGTAAAGGGCTGAAGAGGTAAAGAGGCTTGCGAATTCATGGTGGGGAGATCAAATAGCATTCTACCTCCCTCTTTTTCCTTCCCCCTCCCTCCAGCCTGCACAGGTCTCCCCAGCCTCTTCTCTCTGTCATCTACACCCACAGCATCGGCATCCCTGACTCTGGTCCCTTGTCGTCCTCCTCTCTCCACTACCCACCCTACCCCATCTCCCATTCTCTCAGTTTCACCCCAGCCTCCCAAGGGATCCTGCCACCGGGCCCTGATCACCATAGGGAATAGGCCAGATTCGCCCTCTCTCTCTCTCTCTCTCTCTCTCTCTCTCTCTCTCTCTCGTCTTTTTCTCTCCCCCCAGGGAT